GATGCTTATTTCATTCTCAGCATTACCAGCTTATATGGTAGAAGTCCCATCACTGCCAACTGTTCCCAAATGTCACATCTGGATTTCTCAATTAGAAATGAATACTCCTATACTGTATTCCCATAAGAAAAATGAGTATCCTGGCAACTCTTTCCCAATCCACCTTCTGCTATGAAAGCTAACACTGAAAACTATGTAAAACCTGGTTTGGCTGTTGCATAATTTATGCCTGCAGAAGGGTGATATCATCAGCAGGGTGTGTATTTTGGTAATTAAGATTTTCCTGCTTATGTCCTGCAGCATTCAGACTCCCATACAACCCTTTAATCCCACGGAAACTGGGGGGTGGGATGGGGTGAAAGAAGGAAATTGTTAATTACCAAAATGTCATTGAGTAGCTTCAGGTTTTGGTAACTGATTTTTCCCCCCTTTCATCCTACAGCTTCCACAAGATGAAAGTGATTACACTGGAATAGGAAAAGCTTCAAGACAAAAGTAGGAAATTATAAATTGCCAAAATCTCCCATTGATTACATTCTCACAGCATTAAGTTTCACAAGAGGATCTCTGCCAATAAAGCTCTATTACACAGGTGTGGTCAACATGCATCTCCCAGGTCCCCTATTTTTTTTTTTAGAAAAGCTTTTTTAAAAGTTCATCTTTATTCTCCATAGGGATATTTACCATGCTTTGACAGCCTCCATGGCTCAAAACATGTTTTAGAATTTTTCAATTTTTAAGATAAATTCTTTTCGACCACTAGCAGGTACAAGGGGCTTTTTAAGTTAAAGGTCCCTGTTAGTTAAATCCATTTTTTTTTCAGTATACAAAAGCTCATTTCAGGCTTTACAGTACACACACTCCTGCAGTACATAACCACTGCACTAAAATTTTAAAAATAGTAAATATGTAAATTAGTCTCTTTAATCACACTTCACTTTAACCCTCAGTTTGCTAATAAATTAAAAAACAAAACAGCCCTTGTTCCCATTGACCTTGTCTGCTCCAGGCCGAAGGTCCATAAAGCAGCATCTTATCTTCAGCAGTGGCCAGTCATGTGAAAACAGTCCCTTTTGCCTCTAAGCTTCAGATGCACTGAAGACCATGTGTACTTGCGTTAGAGCACTAGAGATTAATCAAAAATCTTTATTAATCTGAGTTTAAATTCTAATTAAATCCCTCTTTCCCATCTGTGTATAGAATACTAGCTTCAATTAAGACTTCCAAGAGCTTTGAAGAATACCGACAGCCTGGTAAAACCTGCCATGGCAGAGGTTGTACATCAGCAGCTATACGTACATCTAAACTCTTTACAGCTTTTGCAAATGAATCTGAAAAACTTCCTTGAAAACAACCAATGTGTGTCATAACAGAACCAGCACTCATGCATTTTTAAGAACAGAGTCCTATCATCAAAAAACAAAACAAAACAAAACACAGAAGACTTTCTTCAGAATAAAGAAAGTAATTTAAAACACACAGATAACCCAATTATTACCTTTTTTAAAGCGAGAAATCAGTAGTAGAAGTATTGAGAGTAGATACTGGATGTGGTTTTTACACATTGCACACAAATTTCAACTAAATGATGAGCAAAGCATTATATTTTCTAATATCTGTAACAGAGTAATTTTGCAAAGTACCCCTGTCCTTTGCAACCTGGAAAAAAACTGGCAGATTGCATCAAAAAGATGTATGGAGCATGATTTACCATTTTTATGGGGCTTAGGAGCCAAAGAGTGTGGGCCCCTCTAAGATCCAGCAGAAGGGGAGAAATGGCCACTGGACCTTGAAGTGTCAGTTCAGAAGCTTTGCAATTCATGGACAATTTCTGGGATAAAAAAGGATGAAATAAAGTATTAACTGAAGATGAAGCAGATGGAATTTAAGTTTTCTTAAAAAGACTGATATAATAGTCTATGATATACAGTAGAATAGCATTTCATGATATACTCTCAATAGTTCTAACTGCCATATCCTAATAACTTGCCCTGCTACCTGCATTCTTGTAACTAAGCAGTAAGTGTTGATTCTTGAGCTACTGGGACCTGTCTTTCCTGCTAACAATTAGGATAATGAAGTCTTATTTCGTAAAAGTTCCCCAATTCCTGGATCTATGAAATTATTTTTCAGTGATTTTTGTTCTGCTCTTCCATGTTTACTTTTACTTCAAATGCAATAGGTCTCCATTGTCTCCTTATACTTTTAACACATATGCAATGTCCTATGATTATGCATTGTGATATAGTATTTACATGTAGTTCTTCTAAACTATCTAAGGCTAACAAAAGATATGAAGGACAAGGTAGAACAACATGCTGTCTAATCTGAAGTTAGGGTGAATATGAGGCAGAAAAAAATCACACAATACATCCCCCATCAGTGGCATTACATATATAACAAAAGCAAATAACCAACAATTTGTTGTCCTTTCTTAACACCAACATCTTATCCCTGAGGTGGCCTCCTCAATCTGTCTAATAGGAAACTAAGCCATGATTTACCCCACCCCATTTAATCTTTTAAAGAAGGTTTCAATTTCAGCAAAGTGACTGCAAATAGGCTGGGACTGTGATATTATTAAAAATACACTGTTCAATGTAGACTGTTACAAAATCATTCTCAGTCAGCTACACTGACCTTCTGTAGACACTCCATGGCTACAATCCTGCTGATGCAATTACACCCCCTGGAAGTTTGATGATGTCATCAGCAATGGGTAATTTTTAGAAATTAAACACTTGCTTCTGTGCTGAGGCTTCCACAACTTACAGTACTTGTAGTCCTTTTCATCACGTGGAGGCTGAGGGCCTCTTCCTAACTTAATTTTTACAAAATACAGTGGTGCCCCTCATGACGACGATAATCAGTTCCCCTGAAATCGCTGTTAAGCAAAATCGTCGTCATGTGAAAAACAATTCCCCACTGGAATGCACTGAAACCCATTTAATGCGTTCCAATGGGGAAATTACCTCATGGTCCAGCGAAGATCGCCCATAGGGAAGCCATTTTCCGAGCACCGATCAGCTATTAAAATAGCTGCCCTGTGAAGCATGGGTCCGGAAAACACAGAGCAGCCTTTTTAGGAACCCTACGATCAACTGGAAAAATCATATTGTGAACAAACGGTTCGTGAAGCACGGACCTAACCGTTGTCAAATGAAAATCCCCCATAGGAAACATCGTTTTGCGATTGCTGTAACGATCGCAAAAAAGTCACCGTCCTGCGGATTTGTCATTAAGCAGGGTCGTCGTTATGCGGGGCACCACTGTAGTAGGATTTTACAACAGTTTTTCAAATGGGAATCAGTATATTTACAATTTAAGTCACTTTGCTTGAGACTCAACAAAATTAATGGAAAGACTGCTTAATTTAAATGCAGGATTTAATTTAGTACAGAAAACTCTGTCATATTTTTAATCAAACTTACCTGAAGTTATGATTAGAAACTGCAACCTATTCCAGATTTCTATATGCATTAGACATTTCAGAGTCTGTTAAAATACTTAGATATATTAAACCTATGTTACAGGTGAGCATTGTATATTAATTTTGGCCATATTTCTTGCATCTGTAAACTCAGTTTTGTTCCATAATGTATTTGACAGCTGTATCCACTTATTGAAATAACAACAACTTGCCACATCCTTTTTTAACCAAGAGCTTAAAGTTGATAATATTTTATCATGTTATGTACCATAGCAGGTTTGGAAACATGCTCAATGGCCATACATGCTTACATATATTATGTATAAGTAATAAACAGCAATTGCAGCTCACTAGAAGTATTTAATGCCCTCATAAGTTATGGATTTCTATTCTGTTTAATTTCTTGTCCATGAACAAGTATACATTTTTACTTATATATGTAGATTTACAGTGCAGCCAGCACAGATGTTGTTTAAACAGAATTCTAACAACTCCATATTTATCAACAGCAACTTAATGTCTACCCAAATTACTTTCTGTACCAAGGATATGACAAGAAATAAGTGTGGATTGTGGGACACTGAGGTAGTATGCTTCTGACAGTCAGCACCAAATATCTAAAAGGCAAGGATCTTTAACAAGACACAGATTTTGAACACTTTCCAAATGGAAAATAAGGCCAAAAGTATGTAGCAACACTATATAATGTAAACTAAATTGAGGGAGGGACTACTATACATTAAGATAGTTCAGACTATGTAATGCCAGGCATTGGCCTGTTGCTTAGTGTAGAAAGTTGCACTAGAATAGGCCGACTGGATCAGTAAGGATTTGGTGAGTCAACTCAACTTTTCCATAAGCTCCATTGATTCAAATGGAGCTATTCGAACTGTGGCGTACTTTAGCATAGTAAACCACAGTTAAGAGTAGGGTCATTTCAACATAAGATATATATTGTATAGCATGCTTTATCATAAACTGTACAACTAGAATTTTGTAAAAATTCCTTAGAGAAAAATGTTACAATTCAGATAAGAAGCAAGAGGCAATTCCTTTACCTTGTACACTGCTAGTCTTGCTATTCCAAAGAAATACATTTCCCCAAAGAGAGTCATAAAACCACATAGCTAAAAATTCCTTATCGGTGTATTTGGAACTGGATAAAGTAGTATTTGAGTAAGAATATATCATTTTAAAAGACAAATCAGCCAGTCTCCTGTTCCTCAGTGCAGTTATAGGCTCACTCCTATGCAACAGTTTGGCAGCAACATTTTTCTTAATATCTTATTTTCTCAAATGCCGTGAGAAGTCTGTATGTTTTCTATTCCATCATATAATTCTATTTTTATATATCAAAATGTAAGCAAATATCGTAAAAAGAAAATATCTTGAAAAAAACGGCTAAAGTTACTGCTTGAAAAAATATGCTTCTGCATATACAGAACACAAATATTTTTGTTTCTTTTTTATTATATAAGCAATAAACTTTAAACATATAAACTTCTGTGTATAACAACTCAAGTTCTAGTAACAAAACCATGCTTAGAGAGAAAAAAGGGTATTCAATAAATAAAGACTCCCTTTCTGCTTTATTTTTGACTTGCCTGCAAGAGCAACTAAAAGGAACAATCCTATAATGTTCTGTTGATCACTGTATCTTGAAAAAAGCCATTATTAAAAGTGTAAAAAAGTTCTTCAACATTAACTACTGAAAAATAAAATTATCTTTAACACGAAAAGTTAAAGTATTAGTTCTGTTTGTCCCCCTTTTTATTCTTGATAGAACTGTCAAATGCAAAGAAATGCTGTCTTGCCATGGTCATCAGAGATAGTGACTCCTGCTCAGATTTCCGAACCCTATTAAAGAAAGAAAAAAGGGTGTTACTCCAGATAAAAAGTTATTAATTTGTCTCCAGGAGCTATTAGTGAATCTGTATTGTTATAGATTCAACTTCTAACCATGAGTTAGGAAACTGGCAGTGCTGCTGGCTCAAGGCTGGCTTAAGATAGCTGGCTACAGGGCAGTCCTTTGTTAACCACTTGCTTTAGGATGTTCTTTTGTTCTACAGAGTGATCAGAAGTAGATTAAGGGCTATTAACAAGATGCCCAGCAATGTATAAAGAGAACTGAGAAAAATGACTTAAGGTTTCATTTATCTCTCAGCTAGAGAGAGGCATTCCCACAATAAAGGACTCACCCATGCTTGCTCGTGAGAATAACATCTTTGCTTGATAAGAGGAAAAGGGTAGGATAGCTCTAAATGCTTTTGTGTTTCTGGTATGGTTGTTTGCATCCTGTAACGTTATACTTATAATTATTTTTGAATCTGTTCTTCTGTCTTTTCCATTATTCCTTTATCTTTTTTGTTTTTCCTTTTTAAAATGAACTTTGCAAACCCTTTCCTGTTGAGTCTGAAAAGGGAACAAAAGGGGAGGAAATATTTCTGTCCTATTTCAGTCTAGCTATGGAATTGGTAAAGATGGATGTCTATGGAAAGAAAAGTGGTTAAACCTGAAACACACTTTGCTGGTAAGCAGAGAGTGTTGTTGATGGTGGCAATGTACCAAAGATTATATCGTGACACATTTGTATTTATGGCCATAGTTCCACACCCTGAGAATATCAGGACTTGGTCCCAGTGGAGTGGGTGGGGACTACTGTCACAGTTTCTTACAGAGAAAACACAAAGCATTAGTACCTTGAAGACTCAGAACTATGGAATTTGGTTTTAATGAAAAAAGTTTACTTCATCAGATGTCAGCAGCAGTAGACATTGCAATCTTTTCTCACAGGTGTGTAATTCTGCCTAGCTTTTATCATTTTAGTTGCCTTTTTTCTGGCCCCCTCTAGCTCAACAGTAACCTTTTCCAAGTGCAATGATAATGTGTCCCCAGTTCTGCTTGTCTCCTATAGCGCTGGTAGGAGGCAACAGCAGAAGAAGCTTGAGGGCAAGAAGGAAGTTTCTCAACCATGTCCTAAAGTAACATAGTAATCAGATCTACAAAGGGTGGTATGAAATCTGTGCAGGGGTGGGAACATTCTCGTCCAAGGTTTCAAACAGTCACAGCTACTCCAGTAGAGTGCTGTTTGGTTATACAGGGATCTATTTAAATAGACATGCCTTGGCTAAGTGTACTCACATTTTCTCAATCCTCTTTCATATAAGCTGGAAACAGAAGAGAATGGAAGACCATTTTGGCAACTCCATAAATGCACCAGGGCAGAATGGCTGGCTTTGTAAAGTTAATCTTTTTCTGTCTCATTGCTAAGCTGGGGGAACACACACAGGCCCACTGAATTTTCACAATGAACAAATGAACAGCTATGTAGCGCTTTTGTCTTCTCGTACCCCACCTCCTGCTAAAGAGGAAGGTATATCCCCAGTTCTCCCAAGTAGAACTGGTCAGCTTTTTGTTTTCTCACACATGGAATGAAGGGAAAGCCTGCAAACAGAAGCCCACACTGCTCTGAAAGAGAGATGGAAGGAATGCTGGGACAGTAATGAGCACTGAGGGCAGAGAACCTGCACTGAAAGTAATGCATGGATGCACAACTTTCTATTTGCTGATTGTTTGCAGAGCTGGTTTAAGTCAATGCTAGGGAATGCGAAAGCCAAATCTGTGGTATGCAAAGGCTTACTTTTCAGTCATCAAGTGATCACAATGCACACGTGGTCTCTTTATCACCACTGGTTCAAGTACCTGGATAACATGGGGTACTCTAGTTCAAATAAATACTCAGGCTGCAACAAAAATCTAATAGCCTACGTGGACTGACCCATGATTCTTCTGGTGAGCAGCCTTTTTCTAAAATGTCACTAAGCAAGCTTGGAAGTCAGGGATCACTATCTCTCAGGTTAATTAAATTTACAAGGTTGCTGGGAAACTTCAATGTTACTCTTAGCTTCTTAGAACAAGGTATGTGATACAGGTATAAGAGAGGAATCCACAAAATACAGAAAGAAAGGTCTAATTGTAAACCACAGGAACCAGAGATAGCTATTAGGGACTGTACAAATGGGGGACACGAATGGGGAAAAGCATGAAAGAAGCTCTTACTTTCACGTTTCTGTTCTTTCACTGATTCCCCAAAGACAGCCTGTTAAATATGAATGTTAACGAAAGAGAGGGATACAAAAGTTTCTCTTTCCCACTCCCATGTTTCCCCCTTTTGTCTCTTTCCCTCACCTCTTGGTCTGTCAAATCACTGGGGGAAAGAGGTGGCGAGTGCTCCAACACTGGAGGTATTCAAGAGAAACTTAGACATGGTCTAGAGGGGCAGGGTATAAATTTAATAAATAAACAAATAAATAAATAAACAACCCTCTGTCAGATCTGCTTTGATTCGCATTTGTGCATCAAGCAGAGGGCTGGAGTTGCTGGCCTTATAGGCTCCTTCCAAATTCACTATTCTATGAAATCAAACAGCACTTGCAAGCAGCTAATAAGAATGTACAGGAAGTTGGAAATTTGAAGCTGTAAAATACCTCAATAATGTCTGCATGGTACACATCCCTAATACTCATCTTGGTTTCTGTCCTGGACATCTGTCAGGACTAGAGATCGATATGACTTAAGTTGTGCCTTGTTGTACAAAGTGTTCCCTACTCCTGGATGGCTGCCCTACTCACAAGCTTCTGTGTGCTGCCTGGGTAATCCTTGGTCACTGGCTGCCCAGTCTGGGAAAGTGCTTCCTTTCCCCACCTCCTCCAGCAGCAGCCCACTCAATGTTTGCAGAAGGAGAATCTCTGTCCTGCCTCCTTGTCTGAGTAATCAGCTGCTGGAGGAGGTGGGGAAGGGAAGTCCAAGCTCCTTCTCAGACTGGGCAGCCAATGACCAAGGACGACCCAAATGGCACATGGAGACTTACGAGTGGGGCAGCTGTCCAAGAGGTGGGGGGAGGGAACAAGCAGCACCTGTGGTGCCATGTAGAGATCTTCATATGAAAAGGCATGATTTAAGTTGTACTCATCTCTAGTCAGGGTCATGATGAGTATTCAATTTTTGTTTAGAAAAATCATTCACCTGATCTTTTCTGAAAAATCCTCTTCGCATTCTATTAGTGGTAAATCCCCTTGCTCCAGCATAACGTAACCGCTGATATTTAGCCTGAATATATAAACCTTTCTGTACCAAGTTTGATCTGAAGTGTGACCGGCCATCGATAAAGTTGGGCTGTTGAGAAAAAAAAGAAATGGTCATAGGAATATGTTTTAGAATTCTGGCCCAAAGTATCTTTAATATGTGAGAGAGTCAAGAATTTAAAGTGTGAATATTATCATGTATAAATGTATTTAACATATTGAATTTTTTTGGTATTAAGTCTCAATACAGCATCTTAGCTCTTTACTCAGTGATCAAAATACTATTAGTTATGAATGTTAACATGAAACAATTAGCATAAATCTTGGTGATGAATTGCCACAAGTTAAGAAGTTAGCATAGTCGCTTGTTGCTGCACACTGAGTCATGCAACTTGGAACACAACAGCAAATGGCTGCATAATATCTAAACCCCAGAAGCAATTTGCCAGGGAGCTTCATGGCGATTGTTTTCTGCTGGCATAAAAACACGATAGAATTTTGGCCAGTAAAATGGAAATGGCTAAACATTCAAACTTTTTGCCACTTTGCTTTTGAGAATATCATACAATCATTCCGCCAAGCAACAACAGTTTCTGCATTATGCATCTCTAGAGCATAAATGAAATACAATATACATAGCTGACTGCCAGTTCATTGAGCAGAAATACAAACTTGCCAGAATCCTAATGGAGTGTGTATAATTTGCTGTGACAAACTGTGTTTAAATGTTGAAGTACTGTGATATGTGGTGGTTACACGACTGGTTACATACCCAGTTATGCAACCAAGATGTATCTGGCATATTGTCAGTTAGTCATAGCCATTTCAAGCTACGCAAATCTTGGACAAGAACTAAAGATTTTTTTTGAATGGGAACTGCTTCTATTTTACTGAGGAAATTAGGTCTTTCTCCACTTGTGATTTTGCTGCTGCCGCTGGCTCTGCAGAGGCTTCCTATTGCACTGTTGTCCGCAATTGATTACCCCCTCCTTGCAGGAGGTGGGATGACAAGCCTCTCTGCCAGGTCGCAGACTGGCTAATCCATTGTGGAGAACGGCACAATAGGAAGCCTCTGCAGAGCCGGCAGCAGCTGCGAAATCATGAGTAGGAGCCTCGTTATTTCCACCTGTGTGGGGATATTTGTATTCGTATATGAATACCCCCATCTTTAATTAGAACCACATAAAAATATTTCAAATACAGTGGTGCCTCGCAGAACGGTCGCTCTGTAGAGCGACGAATCTGCGCAACAGTGCCGTTTTTGCATCGCAAAAGCGATAGCAAAACGGCACCTAGATAGGGCACAATTCACAGAGCGAAGGTCAGTAAGTGGTTCGCTTACCGACCTTCGCTTTGCGATCCGCCGATCAGCGGGTCCAAAATCGCCACCGCGCAACCCCAAAATGGCTGCGCGCAACGTTTTCGCGCCCTTGGTAAGCAAGGGGAGGGCGCGAAAACGCTGCCGGAACAGCCGAAATTGCTGCGCGCAGCATTTTCGCGCCCTCCCCTCGCTTACCAAGGGCGCGAAAACGCTGGGGCCGGCCATTTCGGCTGTTCCGGCAGCCCTTTTGGACAGCTGATCGCAGCCATTTTCGCGCCCTCGTTCAGCGAGGGGAGGGCGTGAAAATGGCTGCCAGCCGCCCGGAAGCATCATTGAACAGTGAGTATTCAGCCCAATTGGAACGCATTAAACACTGTTTAATGCGTTCCAATTGGTTTTCTTGCCCCGTTCAACGATGCTTTCACACAGTGAGGGTTAATCCGGAATGGATTAACCTCGCTGTGCGAGGCACCACTGTACACTTATTTCATTTGCTTGTTTTCTTAGATGGGAGGGGGCTGTAGTCCTCCAGATATGATTGGAATGCAACTCTGTGGCAAGTTTGGCAGTATAGCCAATGGCAATGGATGATGAATATGCCAATCGACATGTGGAAGGCCACATATTGTCTGTCCCTGATCTAGACAACACACCTTTCTATTTTCTTTGACCCCAATTCTCAAATGCTGTACAAGTTCAAAAAACCTGGAAGAAGGGTGGAGGTGAATTACAGGAAAAAAGGAACATTTGAATTATAATCTAGCAAAACTAATGCCATACCTTGACAGTCTTTGAGAGCTTTCATGATTGCCTTTGAATTGATTAGGAGCAATGTGATGACACAGTCTTGCAGTATAATAATTTTAGATTCAATGAAATTATACTAGCTCATTACCATCTACATAGTTAGTTTTAAAAAATAATTTTCCAAATTATGGTACCATTTGCAATTTACAACTTACATTATTTTTAAAGTAGCAATCTGTATTTTGGTTTGGAACAGTAAAATGAATTTAACTTGTTTAATTGTCGCATGGTCTAGAGGGCGGGGTAAAAATCAAATAAATAAATAAATATTAACTGAAGAGAATGCCAGCTTTAGAGCCTGTAGTGGCTTAAATCAGTGGTTCTTAGCCCAGGTGATATCACCCCCCAGGGGCGATTTTGTTTTTCAGGGGGGCGATAGAATGAAAAGGAGCAACGCGGGGGCAAAGGAACAGAAAGGGGGCAATGGAGTGAGCCAAACCTGAGAAGGAGACTGCAGCCGCGGTGCTGGCAGCGGATCCGGCAGGTGGATCCAGAACAGCCAGTGCTGGCAGAGGATCCACTGCCGCCGCCGCCGTGGGGAAAGGGGCCATGATAACTTCCTCAATAGCTCAAGGGGATGTTTCTTTCAAAAAGGTTAAGAACACTGGCCTAAATAACCCGCTCTCATACTCCAAACTGTTTGTTTTGGACTAGCTTGGTAACACCCTGATCATCTTCCCCCCCCCCCAAGGTTTCAGGTGACAGTCACTGTAAAAAATTTTAAAGAGGTTATTGGTACAAACAACGACCTAATGTCTGAATATACATCTGCTTGGGAGTACATTCATAGTCATAGTTCAGAAATACATCCTTTAATCTTTTGTGAAGTCCTCTTCTGTTCCAACTGCCCTTTAACTTCTAACTGCTTATAACCTTCCTCTTCTGTTCCATAAGCAATTATATCATCTTCTCCTATTTTATGATTGCTAAGGCAGCTTTTAGAATAGTATGCTCTGTTCACTTGCATGCCATGATGATCTGCCGGACATGCAGTGTCCACTGCCACAGTGTCCTATTGTTTCCCTCTTTGCTACATGGGTACCAGAAACAACCCCAGACCAAAACTTTGTGATAACATGCTAGTAGTGACATTAATATTCTCCTTTCTATCCAGCTTGAAAAACTCAGATATCACATCTTTCTACTGTACAGTTATCATATGTAACAGTCGTGGTAGACCTGTTCTTCAATGCTAGTTATGTATAAACTTTGTCTCTTTATCTAAAATTCTTGTGGGTACCTATGAACAAGTAGAAATAACAGAGTTCTGTTGATGCAAAAAAGTTGGAGAATTGGGAGTGTAGTATTTTCCAAAGAGGTTATGGACAGAAGTTTGAAAAAGGCAAAAGCATTTTTACTTTTCTTTTTCATTGAGAGAGGGAGACTATGTTCACTGTATGCCATATATTTGCCAAAGGCTAATTTAGATAAGAAATGCACCTAACACCTGGCCTGTGTTTACCTGTATATCCTGCTGAATAGCAGAAACAATGATTGGCTATGAACTCCAGTCTGTGAAGTATACAGTTTCAAGACAAGTGCTACAGAAATAAGCAAAATACTTCATAATAGCACTAAGGAAAGGATCCATGGATTTTAACTTACCATATGAGGTTTCTTAATAAACTTCCTGAAAGGTGGATTTAAGAATCTTGAGTATTTCTGGAATCCATGCATTTGAGAGTTTTGTAGATTTGGAAAGCTGTAACTCTGTTCATACCTAAGTAGATACAATATATAAAGCTGTGAAATTTAAATGAAATCATTTAAAATTATTATTATTACTATATATGTGTGTGTACACACACACACACACACACACACACCCACACACCTTAAATATCCTGAAAAACCTTCTCGGGGTCACCATTAGTTTGAATCAATTTCATGGCATATGAGACAATATGTATCTATATGTATTTTAAAACCTGTTAATTTCTTGAGCTCATCATCAAACTTACTACTGAAAATAAACCTATGAAAATAAAAAAAAATCTCATGATGGAATATACAATCTAAAAATATACAGAAGTTATATTTGAGTCATATTTCTATAAAGTTGTTACAGTTGGGCTGGAAATAAAGTCCAGTAAGTTTTTTGTGGGGAGTTCTTCCTTCCTGTTCAATGTTCCTAATTTCTAATTATCCGTTAAAAATCAATTAAAATGTGTAACCTGGTTTTCTGAAGACTAAAGGAAAGTTCACAGTCATAGTAGACAGGATCTGCAGTGACAGACAAGAAGGTGACTCATGGCAAGCCATTTGTTCTCACAACAAATATCTTACAGGCAAAGCTATGCCGCACTCTAAACACTGAGGTAAAGAATGATGGCTTGATGGTTAGATGCAAGTTACAATGGGTGACAAAAATACGCATGCAAAGAACTAAGTTTAAATTGTTTCTCTGCCCTGATTCTTTTAAGGTTTAGATGAATCAGTATTACAAAGTTCAATATAGAGTTCTGAAACTGTCTGAAATAAACTTTAAACATACAAAACTAAGGTGCTAAACCTGTGATATCTTTAGACAGCAAAACCATCGTATGCCTTAAATGGTGGATCAAGACTTAAGAGAGAACCTACAACTGAGGGAACTGAACCTGGTAATTACTAAGTCTGGATCCAACACTCTGAAAATATAATAGGCCAAAGATTCACAAAGGCATAAAATCAATATTACATTTGAAATATAACTCTAGCATAGTAAACTGTAAACTGCACCCACCCAAATAATCCTGGCCAGTGAAAGCCAGTCCAAAACACACACACACACACACACACAAAAACAAAAACTCTTGAAGTGTTTACCGATGATTCTCCAGTTTAGAGCATTGGGAAAAGAGGAACCCACTGAGAACACTTTCCTGAGGTCACAATTTAGATCTGCCATACAGACAGCATTTAAAAAAAATGCACTTGAGTAGCACAAAGGCAGAAATGTTGGGTTTCTATCATCCACTTTTCACATGCAGCTGAAAAATAGCCACTTTGCTGTATTAAAAGTAAGTGAATTGGTTCAGAGGTTATAGATGAATGCAACAGGCAACAGAACTAAAATTCCATCCTAACTGTGTGTGTGTGTTGCGTGTGAGACATGCTGTCAAACAGCTGCATGTGACTTATAGTGATCCTAATATGATTTTTGAGGTATGTGAGATATTCAATTTTACCATTTCTACTCTCCCTCCATGTTTCCATGACCAAGCAGGAACTTGAATCCAGGTCTCCTGAGTCACTTTCCCTTATATGACATCAGGTCTCATCTTATTTTGACTAAGTAGCAATTGCAAAACAAATCAGTTAAGATTCTCAATGCCATAGGTACACAAAAAATATGAAGGGCAGTGGTTCTAAAGGTAGACATCTTCCTGATGAAACTGCAGACAAGCCAACCATTCTACAGCCCTGGATACTCATTAATGTGTGGAGTCTGGGTGAAAATTCTGGAGGAGCTGCAGATTGAAGAACATGCAGCATCCTACCATGGAAACTGTGACAACAAGATACCCCCAATTCCTGCTAGCAAAGAGATCAGCTTCTATCAAATATCTTTTGCTAGGCAGAGTATACCAACATGAATTTGACCAAACTCTGGGAGGCAGTGGAAGACAGGAGGGCCTGGCGTGCTCTAGTCCATAGGGTCACGAAGAGTCGGACATGACTTAACGACTAAACAACAAACAGGCAGAATAAGAATGGGATGGGTGTGTATGTCTGAACACTGTTTCCACACTGGAGGAAAACAATGACTGTAACTGATCCAGGTAAATAAAACTAAACCACCCCTTATGCTGTGAGCCTAGAGTCTGTATTAAATTAGTGCATCGAATTTTATTTGAATATGCAGTGATCTCTGGCCTGCAAAGTGAGTGACAAATTCATTACAGGCAGCTGAAGATGACTCACCCGCCAGCAGACAGCCAGAGTTCATCAGGCCGTACATCATCCAGAAAAGCTTTGCCAGACAGCACTTTGCAAACACTGTGACTGTAGACAAGATATACTGCTTTGCTGCTCTTGCAGCTTAGGCTGTTAAGACTGTGCAGTTTTTATAATCTGGATTCTGTAAACCCAATTCCATTGATCAAAACTTTACACTAAGATGTTTAATTAAGAAGGGCTTTAACAGGGTTTTAGCAGACCAAGTAAATTGGAAAAGATGACCATGAAGAGAACAACTACATGAAAAGGCCCCAGGATGTAATACCAATGAGATGGGGCCAAGTGCTGCGCAGAGTAACTAAAGCACATTTCTCCCTCCCATTCTATCTTTTTCTCTCTAGCGTGCATGTGGATATGCATACACATTATACCAAACCTACTTGAATTACTGTGTAAACCTTATGGGTGGTATTGTGTCTAAAATATCTGAAAGGAGCAGTCAACATTCTCAAGCTTCTTCCTAAAACCATAGGAAACCATTTTAACATGAAAGTTGCTTTTAAACCTAAAGCTTTCTATGATAAATGTATACACGAATAGCATGCCTTTATGCAGGCCACACTCAATTTAAACTACACTGAGCTGGTCATCTTCAAGTCAGACTGTGCTCTAGTCACCTGCCCTCTGGCTTCACCTGAGCTGTGGTATCTATATATATACATAATGCTAAGGAAGCAGGAGGGGAAAAACCCTTGGAAGCCACACCCAACATCCACCTCACCCAGTTCTATCAGGCTACCAATTCACATCAGCTATAGTTACTAGTCTGTTTTGGAGATTAATTCCAGGTGTTGGCTTTGACCTTTAAATTGCACCAGGAGTGCTCAGGAGTCATAAACCATACAGTCAATTCAAGTTTCCCACCAAACTTGAGAAGGCTGATGGGTACCTAAAATCAGGCCTTCTTTAGTATGATAGCCAGGATGAATGTCCCAAGAAAAGTACATCCGGTTCCCTCATAGCTTACTTCTTGGTTGGTAGTCAAGATATTTCTGTAGGGCTGCTGATTTAATTAATTTGGTGCTGCTTTCTCATAATCCATATTTGTATCTTTTTATTACATTGATTTTATATAAGATATTATGTATACTTTTTGGAAAAAATGAGTTATTAATTAACAAACTGTACCTAGTGAATTCAGGGACATAGTTTGTAGTATGTTAGAATCTATCCAGGACTACATTCATCATGAAACATCAAATATTAAAATCAGGGATTTTTTTCCTATGGACTACAACATTTTAATCTTTCATTTGTTTGCATGACTGTATTCAAGCAAATATCATATACAATCAGTAATACAATTAGGCTATCAGTTAGCTACATTTTGCTTTACATTCTGTAAAACAGTATGAAGTATGCAAGTACATCATATGACTGCTAAACTGATGTCTGGTAATGCTGACAGCAAATGTCGGAGTCCCACTACCAATGCTATTCATCGTGCATATCATCTTTATTCTTCTTGTATTATGTGGTAGTAATCCAGTCCTCTAGCTAAAGGGAGTGGGGCAAACTTGTGCTAAAGAAAAAACTAATTAGTTAATAAGAAATGGGATCTAAGCAATTCTTCTTGGCAGAGAAAAAGTAGGATTAGAAATGGAGTAGCTCTGAAAGAAGGCCAAATGTCGGGTACTCCACCCTCTGGGCAGCTGCCTCTAAATTTCTCCATATCATCAGAAGGCAAGAAATATTCCAAATGGCTGTGTAGCTTGAATGCAACTGCCAGCTGTATAGTCCTACCCAGGTGAGAGCAGAAAGGATAGAATGAGTCAACAAACACTTTTTGGAAATGTTAGCCTAGGTGTGACTTTACACACCTTGCCACTGCACAGTTGATTTTTATTATTTTAATTTAACAATCCTGGCAACTAATAATTTAGAATGATGGAGGACTGCATATAGGTGTACCTTGGTTTATGAAATTAATGTGTACACCGGGCCTTTTTGTAATGCGAAATATTCACAAACCGAAACGTGGTTTCCCATAGGAATGCATGCACAGGGGCAGCACTATAAATCTCTCAGGTGTAATGTAAACTTGCTTCGTATTGTGGAAAAAATTGTAAATCGAGGCATTATTTTCAATGGATTTTCATTCGTAAACAGAAAATTACATTAACAGGGGTGTTCGTAAATTGAGGTACCACTGTACAATATAAGGCTTGCTCCCCCAGAGGAGAGAACAAGGAATAGGGCCTTCTCAGCAGTGGCCCCTCGCTTTTGGAACAACTTGCCAGTGGAGATCCACCTGGCTCACTCTCTGGGTGTTTTCAGGAATAAACTTAAAACCTCGCTATTCAGGCAGGCTTTCCTTCCTGCCATACCTTAATTTTTTTATACTTCACCACCTTGGACCTGTAATATATGTTTTTGGTTTTACTGTTTTTAAATTTGTAAACTGCCCAGAGTACACCTTTGGTCTAGATGGGCGGGATAGAAATCCAATCAAGCAATCAATCAATCAATCAATCAGGAGGCAAGGAAAAGATTAGCTGAAAATCGCAGCTAAAACCAAAATGAATGCTAGCCTCTTTAAAAATCACAACATTAGGATTTTCCAGTATTTTTAGATGGCTGATTGAAAACTACACAACAAATATATCCTTAAGATATCTGTGGACATTTACCTTTGTGATATATCATCAGCATAAAAGGAATGTTCATCCTCATTCTGCAGTCTTTCTTTTCTTCTCCTCTCTATATCATGTCTCAGATCATTTGGATCTTCCAGAACTCTCACAACACTCTAAAAATAAGAAAACATTGATTGTTATATAATTATATTCATTTTCCCCTTTCTTTTTACATTTAGTTTAACATTTAAAAAGCAAAGCAAAGACCTTCAAATTTTAGAGGACTCAGTTAACATCATGGATTACGATATGAAGAAGCAGTCTGCTGTAAGCGCTTTAGCACTTATATTTAGATTGGAGAAATACTGATCCATATCTTCCACTCATCCACAAAACTCACTGGGCAGCGATGGGCTAGTCACTCTCAGTCTAACTTGTGGACCCTGGAAAGATGACACCAGATACTCTCTGCCCATCAAGTGAGCCACTACACTGTTCATAGTTTGAAAAGTGTAGTATACAGTTCACAGTATATTGAATAATAATGGTCGTAAAAATGCTAAAGCTCAGAATAGTTGTAACATACAGTAAAAGCATCAGTACAGCATAAAGTGCACTACATCAGGTGATACCCATCTTTCCTGCCCAAGGACTGGTAACCAGCATTGGATCTGTAACCGCAGGTACATACCCACCTGGGGCAGCATTGCTACCAGATGTGGAGCACTGTGGCAGTCAGTCCCTCACCCCTTGATCCCCATGGAAAGAGAACTGCCTGCCTGGGATAGGGCCAAATGCCTGTTTCTGTCACTGAGGACCTGCTTCTATGTGCAAAATCACCCCTCAGCTGCATTTAATCAGCCTGAGACAATGAAATCTAACAGTTATTACACTATCACAATCAATAATGTCCCCCGCCCTCCACGCTAACTGCCCTAACCTACCCTTTTGTTTGTGTGTGTGTGTGTGTGTGTGTGTGTGTCTCTCTCTCTCTCTCTCTCTCTCTCTCTCTCTCTCTCTCTCTCTCTCTCTCTCTCTCTCTGGCATGGAAGACCTCACTCCTTGAAATCCTCCTAGATGCACAAGGATACCTGGGAAAAGAAGCAGAAGAGGGTGGCTGGCCTTCCCATGTGGCCAGGGTATGCCTAGCCACAAGTAAGGACTCAGGTAACTTGGGGCAACTGGGTGACTTAGCATACTGTACTCACAGGATCATTTATTAAAGAAAATCATATTACACTGTCAGCTCTTTGGAGGTAAGGCAGAAGATAAATGTAATAAAAAATTTAATCAACCTTATATAATTGGAGTGGGAAAGTGAAAATATTCCAGAGTGTTCACCAAAATAAGATAATATCATATACAGTGGTGTCCCGCATGACGACGATAATCCGTTCTGTTAAAATCGCTGTACAGCGAAATCATCATCATGTGAAAAAAACAACATTGGAATGCATTGAAAACCGGTTAATGTGTTCCAGTGGGAAAATACCTCATTATCCAGGGAAGATCGCCCGTAGAAAACCGCCAATCAGCTATTTAAAATCGCTGTTTTGAGAAACTTCTGTCCGGAAAACAGCCATTTTGCGAAGGGAAGCCAGCCATTTTGCGAAGGGAAGCCATTTTGCGGAGCCGGAAAAATCATCGTTTTGCGAACAAACAGTTCGCGAAGCAAGGACCTAATAAATGTAAAGCGAAAATCCCCCATAGGAAATATCGTTTTGCGATCACAAAAAAATCATTGCCAAGTGATTTCGTCGTTTAGCGGGGTAAGCGTCTAGCGGGGCACCACTGTATATGTCATGTTGCGGATATTCTACTTTATTTCTGTTTATAAATAAACACACATACCTGTCCAGACTCACATGAAATAGCTCGTCTCTTCTGAAGGTCTGCCAGAGACATATCGATCCTCCTGATTTAATGAGCAGAGGATTCCATATAAATGAAAGGCCAAATGGAAGCAAGAGTCAACTTGAAAGACACCAGATTATACCACATATATTTACACAATACATTTTTAAATCATGAAGAGCTCCTAGGAGGACTTTAACAATCCATATAATTTTGCTTTTAGTCAAAGAATGTACAAGATAGTCATGATTATTCCAAATATGAATAGAAAGGAATAATGTGAATATAAACTGTGAAGGGGAAAGGAAGGTAAAAACAAATAAACAAAACCAGAAGCCAGAAAAAATTACATAGGTGGGAGAAGTAAGATTTCTTCATATATAAATCAAATAAATCAAATAAATAAATCAATAAATCAATCAATAAATAAAATGTATTATGTGTTTTAGCTCTTTCATTATATCATTATACTATATCTTTTAGGGTCCAAGACCAGAGGCTCAGACTGAGAAATAATAAACTAACAAGAACTGGTTGTATATGATGGACTTATTCCCAAACAATGCATGTAAACAAGCATATCATATGGCCATCAGATGACAAGAAAGGCATGCCATGGGCACAGGAAAATTCTATTGCTCTACCGTACATGGAAGCCATGTACTCTTCCCTTTCAGTTAAATACTTTTGAAGAATATATCCCAGCGTAGTTAGATTAACATTTTCTGGTCTATAGTACCAGATAAAATATGCTAGTGGAATAAGATAGTCAATGTGAAGCTTTGCAACAAGACAGGCATAATGATGGATTACCTTAGGATGACCATTCCCTATCAGGACTGAGTCTGCACACAGTACAGAATAGGTTTTATGTCTAAGTAAATATGCATAATTGTGAAGCAGTGGGGTACATTTTCTATTTACATAAATGTATCATTGCGCTTAGACATAAATGTCTATGCAACAAAGCAACTACTAAATTTAAACCATTACAGTGGTGCCTCGACTTACGAACACCCCTACTTACGACCATTTCGAGTTACGACCAGCTCCGGCCGCAAAATTTTGCTTCGGCGTGCAGCCGGAGCTTTCAGTTACAAACAGAAAAAGGCAGGGGGAAAAGGCGGGAAATTCAAATTGCTATCCGTTGGTAGGCAAACAGGCTGCTTCTTTGTGGCTCTTTAACCTCAGCAGTTAGAGAGTGTGCGTCGTTGTTGGAGGCTTGGGACTGCCTCCTTCTGCTTCTGAGTGTGTGTGTGTTTGCAGGGAGGCTTCGGGCTGCCTTGTAAGGTAAGGTGCTGTTTCCTGCTTTTTAATAACTGTTCTGGGTGTTTTTGCAGCGTAGTTTTGAGCTTGGGGGGTTATGTTTCTGTGCTGATTAGTCTTGGGGGGTTTGTTTGTTGGTTGTTTCCCCCCTGTTTCCGATGGATCTTGGGGGGTTTGGTTGCTTTTTGATTTTTTCCATTTCCGATGGGTCTTGGGGGGGGGGTTCCTTGCTTTTTGGGTTTTTCCTCCCATTTCTGATGGGTCTTGGGGGGTTTCATTGCCTTTTAGATTTTTCCCCCATTTGCAATGGGTCTTGGGAAGTTTGTTTGCTTTTTAGTCCCCCCCATTTCCAATCTTGCATGATCTGCTTGATTGCTTTTTGCTTTGTCTTGTTTGCATTTGCAATGGGTCTTGCACGGTTGATTGCTTTTTTGTTTGTTTTCTTTGCATTAGGTCTTGCATGCTTGATTGCTTTTTGCTTTGTCTTGTTTGATTTGCAATGGGTCTTGCACAGTCTATTGCTTTCTTCACCCACCCACCCTTTGGCTGGAAGGGATTAATCGCGTTACCGACCAGTCTTGCAGTGATTTTTTTGGTTATTTTTTCTTCAGCTAGAATGGATTACTTGCATTTCAAAGCATTCCAATGTTGGTTATTTTTTCTGCTTATGACCATTTGGAGTTATGACCATTTTCCTGAACCAATTAAGTTCATAAAAACGTAGTAATGCTGTTATTTTATTTGCTATTTAGTCAACTGTCAAGATTTGTATAGGCCTGATATACATTTATTTTACCTGTGAATTTCTGGATCTGAATGTCTTTTAATTTCACTTGCAACTGGATTGTCTTGTATTTTTGAGAAGCGTTCATGCAGAGTTATATCTGAAGATCTGAAATAGTTTGCTGTGGGAGGTCAGATGAGAGAAAAAATTAGCCAATCTTTATTAGTAAAATTGCACAGTTAAAATACTATTGCAAATACTATGCTGACAAATACTATCTCTGTAACTATTCCATTTTTAAAAAGTGGATCAACATACTGCAGAATATTACTATTCTGTGTAAGGAAACAAGATGCAACATTTCTATTTCTTTGATAACTCCATAAGATCATATGGACATGTTCTTCCAAAGCAGGCACTCGTAACATAAGCAAGCCTGAGGGCAAAACTATCACCCCTTGCATCCCGGGGGNGGGGGGAGACCTGGCTTAGATATGTCAGAAAATACTGGGGGGAAAATAACCAAACACCAGAACAGTATGCTGGTCCCCTTCTCATTTTGATTTCTGGTTGGGGAAGTCTTCCCCTCCAGCTGTCTTACGTAAAAACTACTAGGAAGCCTCCAGGAGCACAAAAGCTTTTTGACTCAAAACATTGTGGGTTTGTATATGTGAGGAGGATATAAGAGCTCCACAGGGGGCAACAGAACTGGTCTGGGAGACTATACTTTGTTCACCTCTACTCTTATTAATACATGGGATCAATTATTTAAGCATCAAATTGCAAAAGATCAAATCAAACTTTTAAAAAGCAACTTGTATTCAAAATAATTAAGATATAGAATATGAAATAAAATACGTACAATTTAACCTTCTCAAGGAAAATCCCCTGAAATATCTCCATACCCCTTTAAGAATGCATAAGGAATAATTTGCAAAACATAGGACATTGTTATATTTAACTTGTGTTATATAGAATATAATTTGTGTTGTTTGTCTTTAATTTCAGTCTGAGCTATGTAACATTTGATGTGTGATATAAGACAGAAATGAGATTATCTTTATTATTGTTCAATGGTTTCTAAATTTATTTTACAAAAGCACTTATATAGCTTCTGTTCCCTTCTATTTTATGAAGACTGAAAAAAATTAGAAATCTAATCATTTCCAATCTGAAAACCATAGAACAATGTGTGCTTCATTTCTTGCTGCAATTATTAGATTTCCATTGTTGACATTTGCAAAATACAGTAGACCTTTGGGTCTAGATGGGTGGGAAAAAATCCAAATAAATAAATAAATAAAAATATGTCACCAATCTTATTTACTGTGTTCACTCTATGTGGGCTACCTGACACGTCAAATTCTTAGGTTATTAAGATTAAAACCATTCACATGCACACAAAAGTACAGACAGCATCACAAAGAATCTGCATGTCCAACACACTGTGTAACCACCTTTAATTTGATGAATAATTGTAATGATTTCCTGAGCAAATTCTTTCGATGGGTTTTGTTCTACATTCTGTGTCACAGATTTTATATGTTCAAATACTGAATGGAAACTTCCAGTTTTTCTACCCACGGCCACTAAGTCACATGATGTTTGCCTCTCCATGACATGACTAGATGCACTCCTGAAATAAATTTAGACAAGTTTAGAAAATATTTTCTTTAAAGGAAAAAAAAAGTACACAAGCTTATTTAAATGATATAGTAACATGGTTAAATTACTAATTTCAAAACATGAAATTAATAGTAAGCTCTACATCTGAGGAAGGAATTTCTAAAATGACACTGCAACTTTACAATCACAATTTATAACTGTAATTACTCTGCAACTCACAAGTGCATCCTTACTGTATTGTACAGAATGCCCAATTCAGTCACTATACACAAAAAGAACCCCAATTCAACTTCTCACAAAGAGCTCAAAACAACCTAACTCAATAAGGAATGCAGCAGTAATTTCAAGCTCTTTATGCAGACACTCATCCATTGCATGAACTCCCTAAAAATACACACAGCTATTCAATGTGGAGTAGGAATTCAGCTCTCCACCTCTTCCCCATATACAGTACACAGATACTTGGCAGCAGAAGTGCTGCTGAGTGAATGTCCTTATAGACTCGATCATCTGCTACTTACACTCTGTTTTACTTATTCTACTTAACAGTAACATCAAACAGACTTGAGTTTTTATGCCATTATCATTGACAGGATAAGGCCTACCCTGTTTCCCCAAAAATGAGATCTAACCTGAAAATAAGCCCTAGTATTTACAGGATGCTCGTAATATAAACCCTACCCCAAAAATAAGACCCAGTTAAGTGAAACCCACCCTCCACGATTGTGCAGCAAGTAGATGACATGACTGTATGTGAATAAATGTAGATTGTTATACTGTACATGAAAAAAAATAAACATCCTCAAACACAGTACAGTATTTGAAAACCAGTAATAGTCCCTCAGTAGCCACCAATCTGAGCTCCCATCTCATATTTTTAAATGCTGTAAGCCGCCCAGAGACCTTCAGGTAGTGTGGGCGGCATATAAGTTAAATAAATAAATAAAATAAAAATATTTTACAATTGGCACACATCAGTCTGTTTCAACTTTTCAATCCTCTACCATACTCATTCTGATGTGTACCTTATCCTACAAAGAAGAGTCTGTCAATGCATTCTTAGTATGGAGGATGCACGGAGTGCCATGATACAGAATTACAGTCACACTGCATGTTCATTCCCTAGCATTTTGATGTCTTCGTATTATGTTACTATAGAGACACCCACACAAAATAAAGCCTTCCCCTTCCATCTGACATATTAGAGCACACTGTATCTAAGTCATACCGATTCTCAGATCAGAGAATACAGTGGTGCCTCGCATAGCGATGTTAATTCGTTCCGCAAAAATCACTGCAGAACGAAAACGTCGCTTTGCGATATTAAAAAGCCCACAGAAACCCACTGAAACCCCTTCAATGCGTTCCTATGGGCTGAAAACTCACCTTTAAGCGAATATCCTCCATAGCACCACCATTCTCGGTGCCTCTAAAGCGAGGAATTCTGACAGCGGGCAGCCATTTTGTTTACCTGACAGTCATTTTGAAACCGCCGATCAGCTGTTAAAAAATCATCGCTTTGTGATGATCGGTGCCTGAAGCAGGGAACCGATCATCGCAAAGTGAAATTCCCCCATAGGGAACATCGCAAAGCAATCGCTTTTGCGATCGCAAAAAATGCGTCGCAAAGCAATTTCGTTGTAAAATGAAGCGATCACTATGCGAGGCATCACTGTATACTGTTTTTACCCAGAGGTTTGCAACTGCGGCTGCTACTAAAAAGGTAAAGGTTCCCCTTGACATTTTTAGTCCAGTCGTGTCCTACTCTAGGGGGTGGTGCTCATCCCGTTTTCAAGCTGAACAGCCAGCGCTTGTCTGAAGACAGTTTCCGTTGCCACGTGGCCAGCACGACTAGGGAACGCCATTTTACCTTCACACCAAGGTGGTACCTATTTCTCTACTTGCATTTATATGCTTTCAAACTGCTAAGTTGGCAAGGAGCTGGGAGAAAGCGACGGGAGCTCACTCCGCTGTGTGGATTCGATCTTACGACTGCTGGTCTTCTGACCCTGCAGCACAGGCTTCTGCAGTTTAGCCCACAGCGCCACCACGTCCCTGTGGTGCTACTAGTTTCCCCCAAAATAAGACTTAACTTGAAAATAAGCCCTAGTATGATTTTTCAGGATGCTCGTAATATAAGCCCTATCCACAAAATAAACCCGTAAAGTGAAACCACACCCTCCACCATTATGCAACAACCAGATGACATGACTGTATTTGAATAAATGTATATATGTATTTATTTATTTCATTTCTACCCCGCCTATCTGGTCTTGCGACCACTCTAGGCGGCTTCCAATACAACATAAATCAGCAAATAAAAATATCACAAAAGTTATGACATAAATAATGTAGATTGTTGTACATGAAAAAAATAAAACATCCCCTGAAAATAAACCCTAATGTGTTTTTGGAGCAAAAATTAATATAAGACCATCTTATTTTCAGGGAAACGCAGTACTTACCCACCAGCATCCCAGCTGTCTATATGCAAACAGCTACAGCAAATACAGTGGTGCCTCGCATAACAAGTGCCCCGTTTAACGAAGAATCCGCATAGCGATGCGGATTTTGCGATCGGTAATGCGATCGCATACTGATGTCCCCTATGGGGAAACATCGCTTTGCGATGATTCCCCATAGGCCCTTTTCCCCCCCAGCTGACCGGTGGGGCTTCCGAAGGACCAGGGGGGAGGGCTCCCCCCCGCGGTCCTTCTCAAGCTCCCGCCTGTCAGCTGCCTGAAAAAGCTGGTGGGCGGCCAGCTCGCTCCTCCTGGGGTGGCAGAGGCGGCGGGGAAAGGGAAAGGGCCGGGCGCCTGACTGCCCTTCTCCCGCTCGACCTCCTCTTCTTCCTCCAAGGACGAGGCGGCGGGAGCTCAGCCCAGGGCCGGCAGCGAGCGGTGCTTTAGCCGGCTCGCTCCTCCCAGGGCGGGGGAGGTGGCATGGGAAGGGAAAGGGCCGGGCGCCTGGCTCGCCATCTCTGCCTCCATCTCCTCCCCTTCCTCCAAAGGCCGGCCACCGGCAGGCTTGTTCTTCCCGGGGCTGTGGAGGAAGGAGGAGAGAGGGAACGAGCCCCAGCGCGGCTGGGCGCCTGCACGCCCTCTCCGCCTTCCCCTCTTCCAAAAGCTGAGAGCTCTCGGCTTGCTCTCCCGACAACGGAGGGGAAGAGAGAAGGGAAGGGGCCCTGGCGCGGCTGGGCACCTTGCTCCCCGTCTCCTGCTTCACCTCCTCCTCTTGCTCCGGAGCAAGGACCCGCCGGCCAGCTAGGGGGAAATGCCAGCTGACTGGCGGTTCCAAAATGGCCGCCGCTGTTTTCTGGATGGATTCCTCGCTTACCGAGGCGGCGAAAATGACCGCCCCTATGGAGGATCCTCGCTGAACGGTGAGTTTAGGGCCCATTGGAACGCATTAAACAATGTTTAATGCATTCCAATGGGTTTTTGTGTTCCGTTTAGTGATGTTTTCACATAGCGAACGTTAATCCGGAACGGATTAACCTCGCTATGCGGGGCACCACTGTACGTGGGTGCAAGGAACTGCGTCAGTACCTCCTCAGACACAGGCCCTTGGACTCCACAGGTTTCTCAAGCTGAAGCAGGCCACTTCTGTCAGTACTATGTGATGAGGTAAGTGGAATAAATGCAGGCAGGGATTGTGAAATGGGTACTATATTAGGCAAGACAATATGCCAGGCCAGCAGTGAATTCCCCCAGTCTTCTGGAGCAGCCTCTCTGGGCATATGAGGGGCTGTTAGCTTAATTTTAAAAAAAAACCCTAAAAACATATAGGTTGCATGTAGCTTTTTGGAATTATGACCATGCTACTCAGATCCTATGGTCAAAATCTAACTGAATATTTACAGTGGTTAAATGGCATAACTTGAAGTGACAAGTAGTTGCTGATTAACAATTCTCTGACTGAGTTCCTACTTATATGTCAATTATGCAACTGAAGGTGGAACCAGGAATTCTCCCAGGGAATTGTTAATGAATGCAGCATTTTGGAACTCTAAATGAAACACCTTTATAAAGAAAGAAAACTTCAAACAATGATCTACTCATTCTGCTACAACAGGGGTCAAGGAACTTTTTTACCTTTTACCCCCCCACCCCAAATATTTATATACGATGACATTACCCCCTTGATTTGAAAGGAAAGAAATGATACATTATTTGAATTCAAAATCTTATTGAATCTACACAGGCTGTGTACCGAAATAGCAGGATGTACCAAATTTAATAAAGATATGCACTATTTTTGCTGGAACACATTGCACACCAGTCATGGGGTGGTATGGGGAGTAGTAAGGTGTCCAATGTGCCTAGCAAGTTGTATTAAATTTTTGCTAGCTCGCAGAGGATTTAATCATCATCAGTGACTGCCAGAGTAGTGCTACCAATGACGTGTTTGCTAGAGAGTTCCGAGTTGGGGGGGGGGGGCTACTACTTTCATCATTCTGTGTGTGGCG